TATAATTCAGTTTTGTATTTGTATTACACTGCCGTCTCACACCAAAAAGGTCCTCCTTTTTTTGGATATTGTCTTCAGGTTTCATGTGATCCACCTTGTTTTATTTTTTTTAGTCCACATTCTGGAAAGGGTGTGCAGATGGCAAGCCTTTCTTGATCTGGTATTTTTAATATAAACTATGCAACTATGACACAGGGCCTCTGTCTTCACACCGCTGGTCAACCCAAACAAAATGTCACTTCAAAGCAAGAGAGATTTCACAACATCCTCCCGAACACCCTGAATCTCTCACCACCACAATGAGGGGCTCAGATCGGGAAGAGTACTAGTGACAAGTCAGAGAGTAAGATGGAGGCAACATGTTTATTTATCTTTGGAATTACTGAGGTAGTACTTTCTGCAGCTTTTTTAGTGGGTGATTAAAAAATTAAATTTGTTATGACATGGAAAATATGATGTAACTAAACTCGCTGTGGTTTAGTTTATGTCACTGGAAAGTATGTTCAGCTTAAGGAATGTTTTTAGCTATGATTGGGCAAGGATGAATTGTCAGTGGGGTTTTAATAAAGAAACAGCCAGCTTCTTCCCTCTCTTCTGCAGTTTGTGTAAAATCTGATGTTCTCTCTCTCATTTCAAAATATTAGGTTTCAAAATAGTGATGATATGACCTCAAAAAGTAATGTATGTTGAACTCAACTTATTTTTTTTCATATTTGTCAAATGCTTTCATGAAAATTGTACCCTAAATGCTTTAAGCATTTGGACGGGTTTGTGTTTTTCTCTCCGTGCTGTGAGAAGTGTAGTAGCTAGGTCTAGTGAGCATCAATGACTGAAGGAAAATAGAGTAAAGTGCAGGAGAGGTAGCTTCAGGCAGCTCAGAAGTCATCCTGTGAGGAATGGTTTGCGTTTGCCATGGCTTAAAGGGACAATGTACTACCCCACCTGTGCCCCCCATATGCTCAGCTTCCAGGGTAATTTACACACTCCTGGCTGCTCTTTCCAGATTGGTGAACTGTAACTGATACGCAATTCTGCACACGTGCATGCCTTTGTTCACGTTTAGTCTGGCTGAGTGTGACTGTGAACTGGTCAGAAAGGCACTTTATCAAGGCTTAGCTGGCTTCATTTTATTGCTTGTTTTACTGCTTTGCTTACGACTATCCCAAATGATCACTAAAGACTTTACAATCACTTTTTAAGACCAGTTAAATCACCCTAAATAACTTTAACCTTTTAAACCACCAGATCTAGTGTTTCATATGATATCTTTCCATTCTAAGAGTTTTTTTTTTTTTTTTTACGTTCAGCAGTCAAGGGGACCTGGGCCCTGGTGACAAACCTGGACCATGTGTTGAAACAGCTTGCGCATACGAAATGCACCTTTTGATTTGTAACTTCGCATTCAGTTTCTCCCTCTGAAACTTTCTACAACTTGTGTTATTTCTTTCCCTTTTTTATAGCCCTGGAAGCTATTGTGTGTCACTCCAGTGGTTTTGGAGAAAGTAGCATTTTCGCAATTCAGTTTATACCTGGATGCTGTCAACATTCTAGACGTGTTTCAATCTGGCAATCTTGGACTGTCACTGTTAATATCGGGTCATTTTCCTCACCATCTGTGCCTGTCTTCTGTGGTGTTCCGCAGGGATCCATTCTGGGGCCTCTTTTGTTTTCCCTCTACAAGCTTCCCTTGTAGAAAAAAACCTCAGAAACATTACTTATCATTGCTATGCTGATAATCTCCAACTCTATCTTCCAATTAAACCAGGAGTTTTTCATTAGATCATCTCTTTTCATGCCAAGATGAAGTCAAGACCTGGATGGAAAATAATTTTCTAAAACTGAATGAAAATACAGCTGAAGTTTTTCTGCTATGTCCTGATGCTACTAACGGCTCCGTTAAAATACAGTTTGGCTCCTTTGGTAACAACCTACACAGTTATGCAAAAAATCTTGCAGTTTATTGTTATTCTCTGCTCCAATTTGACAAGCATCAAGTAGCTTCTTACAACTTAGATCTGTGGCAAAAGTGAAAAACTTCCTTCCTAGTAAGGACCTTGAAATCATGATTAATGCAATTATTTCTTTATGATTGGATTACTGTAACTGTACTGTACTGTATGTTGGCCTACTTCAGTCCACACTTTCTCAGTTACAGATGGTTTAAAACGCAGCAGCCAGGATGTTAACAGGAACAAAGAAAAGGAAGTATATTTCTTCTGTCCTTACCTCATTGTATTGGCTTCCGATAAAATTTAGAATTTACTTTAAGAGTCATCTTTTTGTGTACAAGATTTGCAAAGAATGGCCCCAGTCAATTTTTGTGATCTCTTTCAGCCATACATCATACACAGCCTCTAGTACGTCAAGATCATACAATCAATTTATTTTATCTGTCCCTCGTTTTCACTATCATATATATTCTACAATTATATTAATTTATATAAATTCATAATTATATATTTCTAATTTTTTATTTATTTATTTGGTAACACTTTACAATAAGGTTCCATTAGTTAATGTTAGTTAATCTATTAACTAACATGAACAAACAACGAACAACACATTTATTAAAGTATTTATTAATCTTTGTTAATGTTAGTTAATAAAAATGCAGTCATTCATTGTTAGTTCATGTAAATTCACAGTGCATTAACTAATGTTAACAAGCACAACTTTGGATTTTAATAATGCATTAGTAAATGCTGAAATTAACATAAACTAAGATTAATAAATGCTATACAAGTATTGTTCATTCTTAGTTCGTTAACTAAAATGTTTAACTAATGTTAACTAATGAACAATATTGTAAGTGTTACTATTTATTTTTTATTTATTTCAAATTGTAATATTTCTCATAGTAAAGCACTTTGGATCAACTATGGTTGTGTAAAATTGTGCTCTTAAATAGAGTTTGACTGGACTCCCTAAAGTTTCGCTGACACCCTCAGCAGCAAGTCCTGCTTCACTGGCATTTGCAACTCCACAGCAGAGGAAAATGATAATACACAGAATACACAGGGTCGCGGAGACAGTGTTTAGGGGTTCATAATGGGCTTATCAGATGTGGGAATGGAACTAGCTGACCTCTTTAAGGAATCAGGAAACAGCACCTCAGTAAACAAATGTGGATTTTGTGCAGCAAATATAGTGTTCTACAAAAGTTGAGACAGAATATTCAACTAAAAGCCCCTGTACAGACCACACATCTTAAGACTTAACACCCACTTTTTTATGTAAGCAGCCTTGCTTGCCACCATGGATGTATAATTCAAACCCTGTTCCGGAATGTGAGTTTCTTGGCTGAAAAGGAGTGTCAGTTCAGAAGGGAATGTTTTACACATTGGAATAATATGAATAAAAGTTCATGTGAAATTTTAAACTATAACCATGAAAAGATAGAACAAAGAAGCAAGGTAATGTTATCATCAAGAAAGGTTTTATTAATATTTAAAATTTGAGACAACAAAGCGTTGTATGTTTGAATGAGATCTTAGACATTCACTGTTTAATGAACTATTGATAAATGTGAGATTAAAGATTCCAAACATAATTTCTTACTGAGGAGAGCCATATTGTATACATTTCAAATTACCCTTTCAAGGTAGTGGCAGTCCTGTTGTGCAGTAGTTGTATCAGATTATAACACCATGGCATGGTACTAAATATATACAATATTTATATATGAATGTACCATGATACTTATGGTATGTTTTGTTAAAAGGGTTTGGAATAAGGTCACAAATTAAGTAATCTATTTATTATGAGCCCTTGTAAGAAAACTGTAACACCGGTTTACTGTAAGAAAACTGGAGTAGCAAAATAGGGCTTGACCATGAAACGGTCTGTGAACTCTTAGCATAGATTTGATGTGGAAATTGGATAAGGGGCTAATCCAGACAGTAGTGGTGGGGTAAGGAGAAGCCAAACGACTGTGGGCCAGCTATGATCTCATGTGTACACTGCTCCCAAAGATTCCAAAAATTACAGGTCACCCAAAGATCACTGAGCCATGCTAGGTGAGCCACGTCTGCTTTGGAAAATGAGGTTTGATCACGGTTGCAAGAGATGAGGAGTCACACTATATGGGATAATAACAGACTGATTTACTCCGGCTGAAGGGAGATGCATGTTTTTCTGTTGCCAGCAGGTGCCAAAAAAAATGTGGTGGCTTGAACTTTGAGCTTTGTCAAAACAATGTATCTATTATGATTACAGGAGATAAGTCACTGCTGCTCCTCAACTACCACCATCTCCATCTGTTGTCAGTACAGTCTTTGTGTTTGGTTAACGTGGAATATGAGTCATGTAAGGAGCA